ACAATTACGCTGATGACTTATTTCTCTTGCAATGCTCGATTGCACCTGGATTACACTGGTGTGAACCGGTTCACTCCAGTTACGGTTGGCTATAACCGGATTAGAGCGGTATTTAGCGGTTTTAGTGCAGTGGTGAGTGGTGACGTTGTTTTGGCCATAGGGATGTAAATTTATTTATTTATAGATGAAATATTTGGCAGAAGATTTTTTTTACTTATCTGTCATTTATACGTTTATTTTGATACTAATATTGTGAACAAGAATTATTGTTTAAACTGTCAAACACCGCGAGGACACCGGTGACTGCAATCTATTGTTCTTTAATTGTGTCTATAAGGACGGTACTCAACGAGTTAATTTGCCCTTCTTAAGAGCATTTACTTCGTTGATCTCAAAATTGACAGCAATCTGAATTGTATTTAGCACTTTAAAAGACTTAAACTCCCTAAGTTTAAATTAGAATTTCAACTAAAACTACTTATTGACCGCTCCCTACTTTTTCTGGCATGACGTCATTAAAAAAACAAAAATTAATTAAAATTACAAGTAACAACCCTAACAGCTTTACCCATAAAACTCAACCTGAACGTCTGAACACCATTAAATGTTATTATTATCCTTATGCTGTAGAAGATAAGGCATAAATTTGAGTGGTACTAAGTTTATTGCTAATCAAGGCGTAGTGGCCATGTCTTCGTTTGATTAGACTACTAATTGCTAGGGATGGGATGTTCCTTCTAGGAACATTGTAGTTTTGTAGGTTTTTTATGACTGTTTGTCATTTTTAATTCTTTTTGATTGAAAAATTATATTGGTATGTCTGTTTCGCTTCATCATTGAAGTACATACATACATAACATCACGGCTTTTATCCCCGAAGGGGTAGGCAGAGGTGTACATTAATGGCACTGTACAATGTAACACCCACTTTTCACTATTAATGTTATGAGTCCCATGTAATAGGGGGAGAGCCTATTGCCATATACCGGGCACAATTCTAGACTCCGTGCTACTACTGGGAATTTTTTGAAAAACCCAGTAATACTTTGCCCGACCCGGGAATCGAACCCGAGACCCCTTGCCCGGCAGTCGCACTTGCGATCACTCGGCCAATGAGGCAGTGAAGCAGTCAGGCAGGCATCATTGAAGTACTGATCCAATTTTAATGAACACCTTAGATAAGAAAAGATATTAGTATTTTTATACAATATTTAAATTTCCTGAAGCCGCAGGCATTATAACAAAGTAGTTTGTGACTTGTACATAGTAAATTCTGTGGAAAATATGGCAAATATGCTTGTAATATTATGCAATAATAATACTGGGAATAGACAATCAAAAATCAATATATTGTCAACAAAGTTTCACAAAAGTCAAACACCACCTTTCACTTTTCGCGTAGACGCCTACGCTTGTAGCCGCGTAGCAGCGTAGTCGCAGAGTCATCGTACTTGAAACTCTCGTAGTGAACTGCAAACAGTTATGTGCGTAGCGATGTTGCTACGCACCTAGTATATAGTTTTAATAAAATATTTTAACTGTAATCCATTAATCGCTGTTCATGTTTCGTCAAAAAATGTTTTTTGATAATTTAAATGACTAGTAAAATATAGATTAAATAAAAAACGTCTAAAAATGGCTTGACTGCACGGTTTGTACGGTGGCTGGGCAACCGGCTGCCGTGCAACGTGTCGCGGGTTCGATCCATAAATTGTTGTTTCGGGTCTGGGTGTCATGTGTATGTGAACTTGTATGTTAGTAAACGCACCCACGACACAGGAGATAATCTTAGTGTGGGGCAACGTTTAAAAATATATGCACATCGAACCTACCCACAAATCTGGAACTCATCAGAGAGGTATATGTTTACCAGTAAAAGTAACCCGCGATTTTTAGTTAATTTAGTGTGTTTCACGATGGTTATTAGAAAATCAAGGTCAATCAAGGTCAAAATAAAAAAACAATATTGAAACAAACACAGACATTCAAAAATATACTTAAATAATTCATTAGACCGTATCCCAACAAAATTACCCCTAAATTCCTATTCCATCCTAAAATATTCCACTTTTTGTAAAAGGGTAAAAATGTTTGATATTTTCAATATAACTCCCAGTCTCCCACACGTAAACGTACCTTATATTTTTTGCAATATTTGATCAGGACTTTGTAAATAAATATTTAAGCACAAAAAACATCTACTGGGAATAATAACACGAGAGCTCACTAATTAAAATATTATTTATTCAGAATTAATTACCTCATTATAAAAAAAAACAATTTCACAATGACCAGCTTAACCAAGATAAGTGAACGGCAAAATTTGTTGTGAAAAGACTGAAAACAAAAAAGAAAGCGTTGTCCCCTTATCAATACAAAATACACGCACATACAAAGATAGGTTAGATAACACAGTAAAGTGTATATTAATTTTAAGTACAGAAAAAGATTTCATAATGTTACATATATCATCACTAGTAAGTAGTAGCCCCCTCACTATAATCTACTATATAAAAATAAGTCGAGTTCTCCTTCCTGATGCTATAACTCCAGAACGCACGAACCGATCTTCACGGTTTTGCATTCGCTGGAAAGGTCTCGGGCTCCATGAGGTTTATAGGAAAGAAAATTCACTTATCACTAAACGAAATGTTACAAGCCACCGTTACTCTGGTGTGTGTGTCAAGTCGCGTGCTCTGCACACAATTTATATTAATAAATACAAGTAAAACTAATCCGAGTATAATTTAAAAATCAACTAACATAACATATAGAACCAGTTCATGCAACAAAAAACTAAAACAAAAAAATAACGTACCTACATTAAAAATTCACAAAGTTTAAACACAGTAATTATGAAATTACATTCTCCTTCCTCTTTAGAAAAGTAATTAAGGTAATGTCATTTTTGTTTTACATTTTACGCCTTGAGGTGCACCCGACCCCAGTGGGATTTCAAAATAATCCTTACATGGACACCCGGCACATCAAGTTATGAAAGATCAGTCATTACATGCGAGACTGATGATTAATATAGTTTTTAGAACCAATTAATGATGGTTTGCTACGTTTTTATAATAACTATCGTGAGACATACTAGATTATCTAAAAATCGCGGGTTACTCACGTGAATATACTGAGAAAAGCTCTATTAGTTTCGAACCACAGAGGGATTTCAGTTTATACTGGTTCTGCTTAGCTTGATGTGTAGCCATGTATACTTAATGACATACAGCCTTTAAGTCTAATTCCGCGAGGACTTGTTATGTCAAAAATTAAAATAGATTAAAGAGTTTATTTATATTAACATGTTTGTAGATACAGTATTTTTTCTAAATAATGGATAAGAGTTTTGTCCTGTAATTGGAAATTAATTGCCGTAGGTAAGATTAGCCATTGATTAAGTGTGGGAGAGCCATGCTTCGGCACAAATGGGCCGGCGGAATCGGTAACGCCCATTGAGCTCAGCAATACCAGAGAAGTCGCTAGTGCGTTGTCTTTTGAACGTGTACAATTGTACTATATTTCTCTTCAGTAATTAATCTATTTACTAAGAGGTTTAGGTACCTACCTGAAAAGCTGAGTTTTGTAGCCTATGGCGTTCCGTTAATTGTAAAATATTTCTGCTCTATTGTTGTTTCTAGCTCTGAATGCACTCATTATATTTTCATTTTGGATGACGGAACTGGCCCTCCACGAATAATGGCTACGATTATTTAAAACAAAGCTACCACAGTTTCACTCAAGAATTTTATTTAAAGATATTTATTATGGAGACTTTTTTAAAAGGAGAATACTGAAGTGGTTGAAAATTGTGATAATAACTTGGTAGTCACTTATAACCATCTGCATAACCCTATTTATTCAATATAAATCGATTTTGGAGAATGGGATAGGCCAAATTACATAGATATAGCATTATTATGTCTCTTACTTAGCTAAAACAGGTAAATTAGCTTCAAAATCACAATAATATCGGCTCCGATTGGTATCATAATCATCATTGTTTTCCGAAGTGTTTCAGTTGTTTCAAAATCACTTTTCAAATTCATTTAAAAGACAAACTACTACAGCGAAACATCGCATTAAATAAATTTTTTAAAAGACTAAGAAAATATCACTAGTTGCTCCTTTGTCGCTTATAAAAATAATAATAAAATCCCGGCAAGGTTACAACACTACTAACCGTAATTCCGGACTGCCCAATAAAGTCGCTAGGGTTGTTCACGTCTAGTTTTGAAGTGGTTACAACGGATGGTTCCCGACATCTGTGGACTGACTCAAATTGTTATTAGTTACATTTAGACTGGACCCTTTACGTTAATTTTTTCATTGGATTTCGGACCTTGTATCTTAAAGATAAAGTTGAAAATCCAATAAAGAAATTGACAAAGTGTTGGTTGTTCTGCTGGGTACTGTACTATGTAATTTTGACTTTTGTTTTAGGGAGCTTTGCCTTTAAACACCTGTGCATTAAACTGTCAAACACCAAGCGGTCACCGGTGACCGCGACCTATTGTTCTATAATTGTGTCTATAATGACGGTACTCGACGAGTTAAACATTGGCCTGTTTGATCCTCCTTGTGGATCTCTACTAGGTACCCATAGTATTATGGGAAAGTAATCGAATGATTTCTTTTTTTCTTTTCTCCGAAATATCTCAATATATCCCTTCATAAAAACCATCCTCAGTCTTTATTGAATATTTGACAAAAAAGGTTGTAACCAAATTGGTTTTGTCACCTTCGAGATTTGCACTCAGTAACACATTTGGCGCCGAATATGAAAATATATAAATACTCATGGTACTACTGCTTCATTGTAAGAAATGCCTATTAATAGATTTTATAATTTTATAGCATCGCACCTTAATTTCATAAACTCAGATTTTGAAGTTCTTCTTCCTAAAACCTTTCTTCGGTTAATAGTTGCGCTTACAATATTTAAACCAACAAGTAAATTAATGAAAAATACTTAAGACCATATTTCTTTGTTCCAGGAACTATACATGCAAACAAAAGCGATCGCATCACTATCGGTTATAACGTTCGTGTTATCGATAGTGTTGTGCCTCGCTTTGTTACCGGCGGCTCCAGAATGGGAGGCTCTGGCGTTAGCTGGCTCTCTATTGGTCACCGTGAGCCTCGGTGCTGGAACGCTGATGGCCACTCATCATGCACCGCTGCCGCTTTTCGCTCTTATATTGGTAAGGTTTATACAGTTTGATTTAATATATGTTTGTTTGTTATATATCTTTGTGCTGTGCTATAAAGCATAATTATTATTATTTACTCAGCGTGTTATCTTGTAAGGTTAAATCGTCGCTATGATCATTAGCATCATATTTAAGAGCTAACTCCAGTGAAGGAACGTAAAGATCTGATCGATTTTATTCAAAATGTTTTTCTTACTGCTCTTACCCCATTCGCTATTGGGTTCAAAACAAAGCGTCTTCAAAGTGCCTAAGTATAAATGTAGGACTTATCACATATTGATTACAAACAACTCTTACGAGCTTGAATTACCCCATAAAAATTCACTGCACTCCTAAAAGTACCCTTCAAATGGGCATGTCCAATCCATTACATCAAAAATGTAAGCATTACTACTTACTGTAAAACATTAGATGAACTAGAAAACTACTTCTAAAGTATTTAGGTGTGTGTCTAGCATTCAAATGTCAGTTTACTGTCCACCCAGGTGCCATCCAAGTTTATATGAAACAACCTCTTAGAGCTTTGCAATGTTTTCTTAAATATTTGATAACATAATGCGAGCTGCTGCTCCGAATTGGACTTTGCTGTCTTTTATTTAGAAATAGCTTATTTTATTGTACTTCTGTAATCGATTTTATGTTAGACAGCTGAATAATAAAGGGAAATTAATGTGTAGGAAAAGTAATTTTCTTGTATTTGATTTTTATTTTTATTTTAATAGTTGGTCTGCTATTGGGATCTAGGAGATAGTTCAAAAAAGAAGATAATGATGATTTTATTATGTGTTTGGATTTAGAATATGCTCACTTATCTCCAATTAGTAACTTATCTTGTTAGTTTAAGTGGAAGTTCCTTTTTTCCATCTAACTTCTCAGTTTCCGAGAATTCTACAACTGAACCAAATAAAATCACTTATCTGGATTCAGAGATCAAATTCATTACTCCTAAACCAACCCGGAAGTCAAAAGGCAGTTCCAATAATAATAATAATAAAACGAAATTTTGAAAAGCCTCTATTCCCCTTCTGGGGAATATTTGGGCGTTGATGAATTCTGTCGAATTCAATCAACTCGGCTTATCGCTGAGTGTAAGTCCGATGTTGCTCGGACAGTTACCCTTGATTGGTCATTTTCGAAAACATGATGACAACGATATCTGATACGTTAAGTAGTGACAAGAGAACTCCTTAACTACGAACTTAGTAAGAAGTTTATTTATACTAATGTTGTTTGGAAAGTGTAAGGGATTCTCCCGTTCACTACCTTCATAATTATTATATATGTTCTTAATTCCAATGTATTAAACTAAACGAGCAGACGGATCAGCTGATGGTAAGCTATCGGCGTCGCCCATAGACACCTAGAAGACACAAGTCCGTTACTGGTCTTTTGGCGATTCAGAATTAGAATTGTTGGGGTTTCAAGGATTGGGTCCTTGGATTCGAGTCCTTTATGGGATTCTGTGTTAAATGCTATAATAAAATTCCGGAGGAAATACAACATTTAAATGAGTCAAAATTTAAATTATATATTAAAAAAACGTTATGCGGAAAAGCATACTACAAACTTAATGATTACATAGAGGATAAAAATGCTTGGAGGCATGCTGGTCCGGCTCCACAGGATAGCGAAAAACATTGATGTTCCAATGAGTTCCAATCATGTCAAATACAGCCATTTTGTTCAAATGTACACACTGTAAAACTTTATATAGGTAACTATTGTAAATGTGAGAGCCCTGTAACTACCTAAATTAAATTAGACTAGTAGAATGCATGTGTGTCAGCCTGGAGTTGTCATGCTCACTCAAAAGTCTCATTGGCAGTGGCACGGGCAGTGGATCGCTCGATTCCCTATAACATGGTCGAGTTTGGCGGTGCTGGTGTACGTGTCATGTTCGTGAACGGGCGCTGTCAAATGGGACTGGTCAGCTCCAGACTGTATTAAATTTGTTGTCCTCAAGGTTATTTTCTTTTTCCGTCTCCTTGACCAAATATTGGTATTACATTGTTCTCACATTATTAAACTCAACGGAAGAATGTAACCAAAAATTGTATTGTGAACATGATTGAAAAAGAGTAACCTATGGAGTTTCTTGCTCGTTCTTCTCCATAGGAATCTACACTTTGGAACGAGCAAATAGCTTCACTAGAGGACTGACTTACAGACTGACACATTTTTTTTTTCTTATTATTTAGTATTTAAATATTTTGTTTTGACGTTCAAAAGTGTCTTACTGGTCTAATTGAAATAAATGATTTTGACTTTGACTTTGACTTTGACTTTGGGGAGATTTGGGAAAGGAGGTATGTTATAATTCGGTCTCCCAGGTAATATCACGCACAACTAAGTTGATGATACTTACACTAGTCTACACCTACAATATCTTATGTTTAGATTAACACTTGAAAAATTCATGATGACAGTTTTTTTAGAATAAGAAAATGTTTTTTTTTTTAAGAAATGATACAATAATCTTGTTCTACTTAATTAAAATCTATAAAGTTTAGTTTGACTAACAATTTTAAAGTGTCAACATAATTAAGAGTTTTAGCTCCAATCATCGACATCTACTAATCTAAAATCCTTATCTTTTGGCCCTTTAAAAATGTTATTGGGTGAGTTCACTTGCAAATAATTATTAATGATAGTCTATATGTATTATGTTTATTGTTTTAATAATGTTTGTATTTTTAACCGATTTCAAAAAAGGAGGTCCTCACTTTGACCTGAATGAATGAATGAAATATGTATGTATGTACGCAATTATCTCACGATTCCCACAACCGATTTTGATGCCGTTTTCAGAAAGTAGTTTGTGTGTCTTAGGAGAAGATTTTCGTATAAATTAATCGACTTCAAAAAAGGAAGTTAGAGTCGATTTTTTAACGTATTTTATAAAAGAATTATTATTCGTTTTTGTTTGAGAAACTTTATAAAAAGTCCTTGTTTTTTAAGTAACCCGAACGTCCAATTTAATTTACCTGATATTAGTATTGTTTTAAAAACAAACGAGACGATGACTTCTACACTAATACATGAGACGATAACTTTCAGCTAATGCGAAGAAAACTATACCCTTCGGTAATGTTTTACTAAGTTTAAAATACAATAACAAAGCCAATGTTTTCGTTTTACTTCGTAAGCGATTACCTAACACTCAGTGAAACTCATCTCTGACGATAAACTCGGGAACTGTCGGCTTAGCAACAAAGCCGTGGTTAGTTTATTTTACCTACCACACCTTAACTAAAACATACACCTAACAAGCACCCTGTTTGGATAAGTCTTGCTACATCCTGTACAGTGGAAAGGCCGAAGAAAATTGTGTATATTAAGTTTGTGGACAGGATATTCAAGTAGGCTAGTAAGGGTACAGAAAGTGAGGTCTCATTAGGGTAGATTTACAGGTCAGACAAAGAGATAAAATTAGGATTTTATAAAAAATGTTCTTGATCTTTCACGCCCAAAAACTCAAATTTTAAGTGGTACTTAAATATTGTACAATCTCTGTCATATTACCAAAGAATTTGTAGTGACGCAACTATACTTAATCGTGACTTTAAATTGAGTAGCCTTTCAGTTATTCGAGCGCTAAGCTTATTAACAGTTTGACATAAAGTTCGGTTCTTATTGCGTGTGATATACATGCCTCTCATACATAACTTGGGTATGTATAATGTATATAAACAGGCAACAGAGAGTGCTGCAATTTAAATAATGATGCACTTTTGTTTACTTTTTGCAAAATAACAAGCCAATGTTACCTATATGCGTATATGCTGTTGTACCGAGGACACATCAAAAGCAATATATGCTCCTATATTATCTTCATTGTCATATCTTCGAGATATTACACTGTTTCACTATTGTTGTAAGTGATCAATGCTGTCCACACAACACGAAACCAGTCACAAGTCCGTTCCAGTCTTAAAAGTATTAGATACCATACCCCAATTACAAGATTGTAAGTCGCTTTAAATACTCTTAGCAGTATTTTGTGTAACTTGGCACGTCCATTAATCTCCGCCATGGTTTACCTTGAATTCTTCCTACCATGTCGTGACGAGGCATAATTAATTTGAAGTTCCCATCAACGCTAGTGATCGATATGGCTTAAAGACAGCCTCTGTCACCGAGTTTATTTATTAAAATTGAGATTCTAGATAGTAAATTGAATAGATAATTATTAATTTAGTATGTCTCACGATAGATAATTATTAATTTGTCTTAAAAATATTTTTAAACTTCTTCATATATTGCAATAGCAAGACAGGAAAACCTTTAGTTATGCATTCTTTATAAATGTTACTGTCTGAATTCGTACTGAGAGCATACTCTATATTTTTACTGAGAATAAAAAATAAATATTTAAATAAGAAATATTTAAATATTTAAATAATAGTTTCTTGAACCAGAGTTCAAAATAAAGTTACCAAATAAACTAAAGAAAGGACTAAATAGGTTAATTAAGGGTCTTCAAGGTGCATGTAATGCCCCATTTGTTACAAGCGTTTATAGGTCACGGTAAGTAGGTGGCGTTGGCGTGGCCGTACGCTCTTTATACCACTGTCGTGGTATAAAAAAAATCAACGTTACGAACATCTTTACCTACTTCAGAGGAAAGAGAGACGTGACAAAATCTGATTTTGAAACTGTTGACAAAACTTGTTTCATCAGCTTGTCACAGTAAAAAGGTTACTGTGACACCAAGGTACCACTTTGATCAAAAAGACGAACCAACTAACATGATTAAACTTCCTTCATTTAGTTCTCTTTATTAAGTTTTATTTATCCCCACATCTGTCCAAGTTTACCATCCACCGTAACCGACTGTGCATAATTGGGTTAAATTAACATATTTTAACTCTTTAACCTTACCGCCGTCCAGTTTAATAAAACCTGAGTGAGTTCAAGTGTCGGTACAATTTTCGGCTTCCAGCGGTTCAAGGGTTTGTAAATTCAGGGTCTGTTATGTTAATTTTTTTGCGTTTGTCCATTTTTACGAATTTATTTTCTTCGTTGCCTTGTCGTCCTCCTTCCTATGAAGTTATTGGTGAGGTGTATTTTCTTAATTTCTTTTTTGTTTTATGTCTTTTCGTCTTTTACTTACTTTGTATTTTTGTAACTGTTCTATCAAAACTCAGATTGCGGGAATGGTTAATTGAAGTTCATCCGTTTTCTTTATATTTCACTTTTTAATTGATTTTAGGAAGGCATTCTGCTTTTCCGAATCCAAAAGAGTAAACGAGGTTTGAAATTGGCTTTACCACCAGACTAGAACCCAGTTCAATTCATTACCGCAAAAAGTTAAGCGGACATGTACTGGAAATAAAAGAAAATTATGTAGCTACCTTAAACAATATAAAACCACAGAACTCTTCAAAATCAAAAAGCATTTAATCAGAAATTAAACTTAAAGCCATATAAGCAATTAAAAACACTGATCAGCACTTATCCACTAAGCCAATAAAACCACAAAACGTATTGGAAGCATTGCGGTCACGACATTTGAAATAAAAGTCGCCGGAGGCCGGCCTCACGAGCCACCACTCTAGTGCCGCCACAATCACAGACCGATGCAATTTATCTAACAACGGCTTTAAGAGAAAAACGAATGCGTCGTGCAAAATTCAATTTGCCATGCAAGTTGAGGGGGCCTGGATCACACGGTTGGATTTTATGATGCTATTAAATTGAACCTGATTTTTTCTTTGGTTCAACTTTTCATTGCGAGTTGATTGCTTTACTTGAAGTTTTAAATTACTCCAAGACAGATGACGTATTGAATCTGTATTAATTAAAGGGAATTAGAATATTCCATTGAACCTTTATTGATTTAAAGCTGCACTCCCAAGACCACGGAAGGAGCTGAAGTTAACTATTATGAATCTCTTATGATGTCTAATTGTCTATAGAATTGTATTTGATACTTTGTTATTAACCACGACACATGTGCCGCCATCTTTGGGCCAAAGACTGGCAATGGTATGACGTCACAATATTCACAATTTCCATTAGTGCATAGTATAAGCACGCCGATGTTCCGCTCAACACGTCCTTGCCTTCATTGCGTGTACCAAGTGTTTACAGCCCCATATGCCAACATCATTTAACCTCAGACCTATCATAGCTGCAATCTCCACATGGATAGGGTACGGAATTCAATTTCCTGTGAGCCACACGTGTTGCGCTACAAACCATTATGATATGAAATTTTGATAAATCACTGACTATAGGAATTATGGATGAAATGTATGGGTTTGTAGCAATATTGTGTTTGAATTTTGTTTCTGTGATTGTGTAATAATAAAACACACATTAATCTTTGTACAGTACAGCGAACACCATTTTTTTGCTCCTCGGTGCCAACAATGTTTACGGGTCGACTAATGATAAGCCATTACAGTAGCCTAAATATACACCAAAATCATCAATTTGCGCTGTCGACCAAGCAGGAGATTTAAATTTGCGTTGCAACCATGCAGAAAATTGTTTAATTGCTCCATTTTTCTCGAAAATAATGGTGGAATTACATCTGGAACTGGATACAATTCACAGATGACATAAAGCAACACCACGTTACTACCTGGCTTATTCAAGTTGCTATTTTTTTCCAGATTTTTCCTCTAGACTTGTTTATTTGCCAATATATCAATAACAAAGTCTACAGTAATTTTTAAAGCCGTCACAACTTTCTAACCTGTTAAACTTCTTAAAAATGTTTTACAGCAAAAACTAGAACATATTAATTTGCCACTAGGTAATCCTGAAAACAATAAAGCTAATGATAATATAATATATCAATTAACTTAATTATGTATCAAATACTACATCAAATTGTACTTATAGATTTGTATTAACTGGTCATTTAGATGCATTTCCCACTGGGAAAGCGATTGTTCTAAACGCAACCATTGCTCATGTCATGGGGTCTCATACACTAAAATGTCGTGAAACGGATATTATGACATTATTACACCCAAGACGGCATCCACAATCAATATAAAACAGAGAGAAAACTTACTGTGTGGGAGAGCCATGTTTCGGCACGAATGGGCCGGCTTGACCGTAGTGATACAACGGCTCACAGAAAACCGACGTGAAACAAAACTTGCGTTGTTTTTCGTCATATGACTGAGGTTACCGGAGGCCTAATTATCTCCCTCCCTAGTCTCCCCAATCCCCTAATCCCCAATAATTCTCAAATTTCTAATCCCCAAAAAGCCGGTAACACACTTGTAATACCTCTGATGTTTCGGGGGTCCTGAGGCAGGGCGGAGCAGATGGATCGCCTGCTCGTTTACCAGCTAATTCTGTAAAAAAGTGGGTAGTGAAAATGGTTACTCCATACAATATTGCTAGTTCAAATTAAATTTCTCTGTATAAACTTCTTTGAAAGTTTTGGTCAGAGATGTAGGTCCGTTGACAGTTTCGATTCAACATTAAAATAATATTTATTAAGGTTTCTTTTTATGTAACTTGTGTTAACCTGTAAAGGTTGAGTTTGTAATATTCTTGGCCTTTGATATTTTGAGTAAATTATGTCGTTGTATTTTAAGCGAGTTAAGGCCATGCAGAAATTATGATTCTGCCATCCCTAGTCATTTCGCCGATTTGTAAGAGCCAAATATTTGACAGAACGCGCGCCTCAAAGAGCCATCAGACCACCACGGATGGGGCCTAATAGGGTTGATGCCGATTCAGAGCCACGGAGAACGGGTTACCGGGGCTTCGGCTCGAAGTGCAGGAGTAGGAACGGGCTGGTTTTTAGTCAGTAAGACACTTCCTCCCGCCTCACCCGAGAAGTCATTCGATCATTTTCCGCCCTTAAAAAAAACCCTTTGAACTGCGAAAGGATAATATGATAAATATTGGTATTAATGTGATATTGGATGAAAGTAGAGTAACGAAAGAAGTATACAGAGCGGATATAAATGGGGCCGTTAGTAGAGGGCGTCCTAGATGAACCAGATAGGCGATATATTAAAGAAGGGCCAGATTAAAAGTATCCTTAACCGACGAGCATGCATGAAAAGACTGATGGATGTTGAGGAAGCGAAAGAGTTTTGTAAGAATTGTAGCAATTGCTGTTCGAAAGTCTCTACCTACCGCCATGGCAGACAGGCGTGAAGTTATGTATGTATGGTACTATTTAGTCTCTGTCAAATATCAGCTTCCTTAGTGAGGTTCTTAAGATAGCCTCTGTAGGAGCAGGAGTAGAATAATGTCATTATAATCTGTTCTCATCGCACACAATTTCTATCTTATCGACTTTCAACAATGACCTTTCTCTTTCATCCACAGATGGTGCACACAATGATGCCTATAGCTCGGCCGATCGCCCTGGCAATGTCGGCTGTCCTCACGTTAGCCTACATTGGCCTAGCTTTGGGAGTCCGACCTGAAGGTGAAGAAACACAATTTTATCAGCAGGTCTGTAAACATTACTGAAATCAAATATTCTTCTTATATACCTGTACATTCGGCTCCTTGAGGTTTTTGAGTTTAAAAATCAATAAAGCACAAAATTTCTATAAGATTATTTGGTTTAGTAACAAAATGGTTAATCTGAATTTTCTTCTATCTCATAATTAATTTATCATCAGCTTCAACTAAGGTATATGAGATCTGAATTTCTCGTGAAATTAGATCATACTACCGCGTCGTTATTGACATGACAGTACAGAAACATGCCTCTTACCCTGTATGTACAATGTCTATAGGTACTAGTGTTATAACGAATCAGAAAATTGTTTATCTGTTTGTCACAGTCAGGTTCATAGAATTAATGAATCGATCTTGAAAATTCTTTGTAGTTCTAAATAATACCTCTATAAAAATGAATAATTAATTTAATAGGCAGGTTGAATCTTTGTTTTAGAGGAAAATCAAAAGAAAACTCTAACCGGTCTACTAAGTGCAGAGTTTGTCATATACCCCTGTTATGTTGAGGAGGTCCATAGTACCTCAATGGACAGTTGATGACGAAGACAAAAAAAATACACAATTTCACTATCAAAACAGTGGACAGAGATGCATATACTTATTATTAGGTGATTCGTCTGCTCATTTGCCTCCTATTCCATAAAAATATACTTAAAATAGGTAATTCAAACTTTAAACCAAAAAATAAAGTCACAAAGGGACTCTTCCTCAAGAGCAGCTTGGTTGCAGTGATGTCGCATAGGCTAGTCACAATAGGCGCCATCGTCATTTTTAGTAATTAATTCAATATATTTCTCGATAGTTATTATAACAACTTTAACTATTCATCAATTATCTTAGCTACGAAACGAAACTGTCAATCAGTAACATAGGCTTTCATCCCAATAATTCAACAACTTAAAACCACGTTTTTGTGATAACTATCGTGAGACATACCAAATTAACTAAGAATCGCGGGTTATTCACTTGAGTATACTGAGAAAAGCTCGACTAGTTTCGAAACACAAAGGGGTTCTTCTTCATGAGCAGCGTATGCGGTCGCAGCGACGTCGCACAGCCTATTGAACCCCTCTGTACTGCGACTTTTATTTAACTTAAAAACCAACCTAAAATTAACAAAATCCACACAGGCGGAGCCACGACGAGCATGATAGTGTACGTAGACACATAAGTGTGGCACACAACGTCAAGTTTACTTACATCGCGTAGGGCACGTGTTTCATCTCATCAGTTTTAAGCCTCTCACAAAATTGGAGAGGAGACGAGATTAATAAGATTAAACTGATGTTTACAGCCAACCTGATGAAGCTTCAAATTGTGCTACATATTTTTTGCAAAGGATTTGTATCGCAAATTCATTATAAGCCGTCTTCGGATTAAGTTGTTTGCGAGTTTTTTGATCCTCTTAAAAATGTATGTTTAGATTGTTTTTGCAAAAATTATAATCTTTATTTGGACTTATACCTCTAATATTTGATTCATAATAGACTTTTATTTGGATTATTAATTTTGTAATAATTTATTGCTAAATACAAGGGATCATTAGAGATATTGTTTGAAATCAACGACCACTTCGAAGAATGTTTGAACAGTGTTAGTTTGCTATAGTTAAAATAAATTATTTCTTAACCTTCAAGCGGGCGCGCGGTCTTTTGTAACGGGAGCGGGCGCGCGTAACCGAATAGACCTATGGGATGAATAAGACCAAGAAAGCAATAATTATGGGATAATCATTTATTAATTTGTACTAAGATACAATATCATTGTCTTTAAAGAGAAATTTGTCACAACAAGTAATTAAAATTATGAAAAAGAAGCAATTATTAAGTCACCTAAAGTAACTCAAATATTCTTTGGATCAAAATAAAAATTAAGACCCGTTTACATATGTTAGGTTGGTTTATATACGTAGACCAAAAAATAAATAAAAAGTAAGGATAAAACTGTAAAAACTCATTAATTTTGATTTTATTTTCGTCTGAGTCAGTATTCTAGTAATTTTTCAGATTTTGCTACTTCGTAACTTTATCGCGTCCTGTAAAACAGCTATTTATTTCCGAAAGCTACAAATTATTCTCATCTAAATCCGACAAGGATGATATCACATCAGATAGATGTTCTTCTAAAACTATGTGATGAGAAGTTTCAGAGCCTTGGTTGCTAAGCTCTGATTCACTCTCTTCTTCGTCTTCTCTTTGTAATTCCTCGATTACTGTACTTTGCGATAACCATAAACGACTTATTTAAACAAAAAATGCTTTAAAACACCAAAACTCCAAGCTGAATTAGATAATATTGACATGTGTATGTCGCGTTGGGCGTCGCGCGTAACCTATTCGACGACAGGCGCGTGTAGTCTTTTCAACGACTGCGCCAGAGCCTAAATAATTGTAATTTGTGGAGTGTAGAGATCGCTTCAAGCAACGAAATAGTTTTTATTTTACTCCTAAAAAGATAGTGACAGGCTACTAGAAATTAGAAATGCATGTGACAACTAAAAATAAAAATACGAACGAAAATGTATTAACCGCGGTCGATTCGACTACGCGCGCCCGCTTGAAGGTTAAAAGTTAGCTAGCAACATATTCCTGGAAAAATTTTCACGTACACTGTCGAAAAACAGCATGGCAAAAGATTCAACTACTGAAAATTTAATAAGTTTCAAAATATGTTCCACAACTCTATTTTCCCCTTTTTTTGATGGATCACCTGATGGTAAGCATTCGGCATCATCTGTGGACACCTGGAACACCAGTGGCGTTACAAGTGCCTTACCTGCCATTTGGTGATTAGGAATTTGAGGATTTTTGGAGGGAATTTGGCCTCCGATAACCTCACCCACGCGACGATACATTTCACGTCGGTTTTCTGTGAGGCTGTGGTATTACTCCGGTGAAGCCAGCCCATTCGTGCCGAAGCATGGCTGTCCCACCCCTCCAACACTACACAAAACACAATCATCTAGCATGTCAAACAAAATATCGATACCAATTCATGCTCAAAGTTTCGTGGTGTCACATAACTTGCGTTGACACCGTGTATCTATATCATTTATCCAACCGATACTTGCCAACTTATCGCTAACTAGTTCATTACGAACACAAACTTGTATCTGTACTTGTATCATACTATTGTCAGCTCTATGGATGCTGTCTTCAACTATGAACTTAGACTTGATTGGAATAAGTAGTTTTGGAGTTTCTTTTTATATTAAAATATATAGTTGAGCCTATCGCGTACATCTGCTGAGTAAGCCCAAATTCCAGGGTGTTAATAATGTTAGTATTTTTTCGGTTTACGACACCATTTATAGGATTTAAATAATTATAACATATCGTTCTGGTAAAAGTGGCTGTTACATTATAAGAGTATATTTTTACTTACGACTAATAATACGACTGCCTTGTTGGCCGAGAGGCCACAAGTGCGAGGGGGCAAGGGGTCTCGGGTTCAATTCCCGGTTCGAATAAAGTATAACTAGGGATTTAAAAAAAATGTTAGTTGTAGCACAGAGTGTGCCCAGTATATCGCAATAGGCTCACCCCTTACTATATGGGACTCTTAACATAAAAAGTGAAAAGTGGGTATTATATGGTACAGTTGCATTAAGTGCCGTAATTTGCACCTCTGCCTACCCCTTCGGGGATTTCTCGCGGAGAACCTAACGGGTAACCGGGGCTGCGGCTCGACGTGCAGGAGAAGGAACGGGGTGGTTTTTAGTCAGTAAGAGTCTGACACTCCCTCCCGCCTCACCCAGGCGGGAGCAGTCATTCGATGATTTTCCCCCCTTAAAAAAAAAATCGCTTCGGGGATTTAAAAGAAAAACACTAATGTACTTTAATTAGCATAAAATAATAATATCGTGTTGTTTTGTTGTTGAAAAGAGTTAATTAAAATGGTGAGCTTTCAATTACAAAACGAATAAGGTAAACAAGTTTGAACTTGCAACAGACAATAGTTACAACTTCTTTTGTTTCATTCCTCTATTCATTTCATTGAAGTGTGTTTTCAAGGCAAAACGTTCTTTTTCCACAGCCAGTTGACAGAACGCGCCTGACAGTTTGAGATAAGCAATAACTCCCGTTTGCTAATTGTGCGCGTTGCTATGTATATTATTGCAGGCGTTTTAAATATTGAATAAACATTTTTTATTTAAAAACAGTTGTTATAGTGAGCATTGTAACCATAATCGCCAAGAAACTGACAACTATAACCATTTTAACTATAAACTATATGTTAATATATGTTAATATAGTTTATAGTATATAAACTATAATATGTTAATTTAACTATAAGTTAATATTATAAAAGACAAAAAGTACAGATAAAGGTAAACTATAAATAAGTATATCTTAAGTATCCTTTAATTTAACATTATAATTTTAAAACAAACGACCAAAATTGAAATCTTTAATCAAATAATTCTCACAAGATAAAACACAAAGCCACATTATATTAAAACATAAACAATTTGAAGGCACACAAAGTTTTCACACCCTGTATTAATAGATATCCAAAATTGTCGAGGAAGGCTGTACGTCTTCGAGTATATGAGAAAACTTCGCTCATTTTCTTCTTAGGGTATGACACTGAGGATTTGAGTTTAAAATTTAAGATGGGAGGACACCTGAGAGCACCCTCCACCTTTTACTTGATCCGGAATGTTTGTATATCTATGATTATGCGAGTTCGTAATTTTGTTGGATTTTATGGTTCGCTTTGTGATGGTAAATGCAGCTATTGAGTTTACCCATATCCTAGATTCGATAAAGGGTGAAATTAATTACTTGTAGAACAATACTGACTGACTGAACGGACTGACTGACAGACTATTATTTATTTTGTATTTGTTGACGTTTCAAAAGTACCAAACTATGGTTTAATTGAAATAAATGCTTTGACTTTGACTTTGAAAAAACAAGTCACGATGTGTCTCCATACCGATTTTTAAGACAAAATCGGTGATTGATACTTATATGAAAATTGATGAAGGGGTAAAACTACGAGCTCTGCATTACTGTTGCAAATGCACGGTTGGTGCGGTGGCTGGGCAACTGGCTGCTGCACAACGTGTCGTGAGTTCGATTCTCGCACGGAACAACTCTTTGTCTGATCAACAGATTGTTGTTCCAGGTCTGGGTGTCATGTGTACCTATGTGAACTTGTATGTTTGTAAACGCACCCGTGACACAGGAGGAAATACTAGTGTGGGACCACGCACTTTAAAAAAAGAAAGAATAGCAGAACAACTATTTAAATTAATAAAATACCTATTTTAATAGTACATCAAATCCAAATGTACCCATTCCGACATGGAAAGCCACAAAATAGAACAAAACAAAAAAATCCTCGTGTAAACCTTTTCGTGTCTATTCTCAATAACAATTGTATTATTTGTGTCCATGAGCATTTTATACAACCTTGACACCCGCGCTGTCTAATAAAATGCTACAGTACCCTTGACTGTACCCAACCTACCCTGAGCAATAAACATTGAGGATTTACTCAACCAAAATATACCCTAGGAACATCGTTATGAACAATATCTGTGTACTTACTTTTTTTTTGGGAATATTAAATTGTAATGGTTGAGGATAATCAGACTTTTCTTGGGAGTGAAAATGAAAACCTACATCTTTTGCAGCAAAAAATTGTTCAAAAACAATTTTTTCTTTATGTGTACTACAAATCTAGGTAATGTAATCTGTGTCTATATGTATAGTTTATTGTATATCTGATTCACTGCAAATAATAAAACTGAACCACGCCTAAATTATGTTGCACGTTAAATAAATTACCAAATTCATTATGCATCGCGCAATCTATGCAAAACGGAAGATTTATGTTGTACGGCTTTACAAAATTTAGTACCGGTTTAATGCACATTTCTACCAAAAAATGGTCAAAGTTTTCTCAGTGGTATACTTTACATTAGAAAATTATCTATAGGTAAGTATACTGTAAGTATAGTTAGTAGTAGAAACTATCCCGGCATTTATTATAAGTATATATATTATGATTATGTAGGCGTGAATATAATTATTGTTGCTATTACCTTCCTCTCATTTTATTAGATGTTGGCGTTTTTCACAGTATATTGTTACCAAAGCAGCTACCTTAATATAGAAAATAGTAAATAAGAGTAGTACCTACTTAAGTTAGGTAATGTAAGTTTTGTTATATATTTTTAGGGAATGATAGGTCAGGCATGGTCTTTGTGTGACCAAAAGACCTACATTAATAAAGATAATAAAAAACTTAATGACGTTAACCCTCATTCACTTAGACTTGTCCAACGAGTAAATAGTCTCTCTTTGTCCACAGCTGGTCTGCGAGCTAGCCCTCCTAATATCAGCCAGTGGCATCGGTTTGTACTACCGAGCTTTAACAGAAAGAGCACATAGGAATACTTTCGCTGGCACCAGGACTTGCCTGGAGCAGCGAGTGAAACTGGAGTGTGAGAGAGAGCAACAGGAACGATTGCTCCTCTCTGTCATACCTGCGTATATTGCTGCTGAGGTAAGTGACATTTTTGATGATGATTTTTTGCAGGGTTGAACCTACAATGTATGATAATTTTATAGGTGACCAAACGTTTAATTGTGTTCAATGATTTTTGTTTGGCGTTTGATGAAGGACAACTGGAGGAATTCTTAAGGAGGACTTTTGATCCCGTGCACTTCGTGGCTGTGCCATTTTTAGGACAGCTTTAAAAAAAGTTATTGTTAAGCAAAATGTATGTTGGCATTTAAGAGGGGTCTAACTACGCAGTTACTAGGTAAGGTCTTTTTAAGTCTAGTAACTGCTACGCATACACATTTTGATTAAAAATTCTAGGTCTCAAAATTCTAGTTTTCTGTACACATAGGCTTAGACGCAACACAAATATACGAATAGAGTTCTGAAAACAGTTACTCCAACTATTATAATCTACTTACTTACATAATATATGTAAACCATTTAAACGACATTTAATGTGAATTAAATTAACATAGTCTCGTCCATCATACAAATAGTCCATTAAATCCCAGCTAAGATTATTATCAACGCAATTGATTCTCAAGTTCTTTCACCCAAAAATTCCAATTCCTTTATTTCTATCCCACCTTTCAAAAATCTCATTACAAGTTTTAAAGGCTTTCCTTACTGTTAGAGGGCACCTAGTGGATCAGATGGAAGCCGAACTTCATTGATGCTCAATTGTCTGGAAACGCAAATCTATCGATTATCGATAAGTGTGAGGCTGTGGGCTGCGAGCCAGTGTCATAGGAATTCACAATGGTCACAATGGACGAAAAGATCCGTGATGCTATGGTGTTTTAGCCCAAATGTGTTACTTTCACTTATTTACTTGCCACCCCGCATTGAGCAAGCGTGGTGATTAATGTTCAAACCTTCTTCGTTTAAGAAGACGCCTTTGCTCAGAAGTGGCCACTTATAGGCTGTTGATGTGTGTATGTGTAATTACGTTTTGCTTAGTTAGTAACGGTGGTGATGTTATAAATATTTTATTATTGAAGTTTTATTGAGGGAATCTGATACCTTAACCCTTGCAATCCTTTGCCTTGCCAACCTTGCAATCCTTTCCGAAGTAGCATGAAGAAGGATTGCAAAATATGAATGCATTGTAAGTATCTTTCCTTAGGTCTTCGCAAAACGACTGTGCTAATTATTGTGGTTAATGTTGACGAATAAAATCAAAACATGACATTTTGTACTCGACGCTGACGATCGCACTTTGCAACTTACATACTACATTTTTTTGTAACAAAGACTGTCATGTCTTGCTTTTGATATTTAATTCAACATAAAGACACCACAGGAAAATCGCAATAACGCACCTATAATAAAGATATTCATTACTATGATACATTGAACATATTATTACGGCAATGATTACTCAGTACAAGCCACTGCTCGCATCTTAATTAGCTGGTTTAATCTCTTAAGAGGTCGTGTGCTGACGGGATTTCATTTGCACGTTGCAACAAGTTAATTATGCCTTGAGGCATGTGTTGAAGTACCTGTGTAAGAGGACTCCGCGTGGTAATCTCGAGAGGATTTGTGGACATGTAGTTAAGTATATTATCTTATACCTACTTACTTACTATTATGTAAAGCGGAAGAGTTTGTTTTTTTGTTTGAACGCGCTAATCTCCGTAACTACAAGTCAGATTTGAATAATTATTTTTGTGTTTGATAGTGCAATTATCGAGGATGGCTATAGGCTATAAAACATCACGCTACAACCAATAAGAGCTGAGTATAAGTAGCTAGTGTTCATATAATTGGATGTAGAGTTGTGTAACTAGGTATGCAGGCATGTCGATATTGTTCTTTGTGTCTCATAAGTATTCAGATTGTTGTTAACTGAAAATATACCTATTTATAAGGACGTATGTTTCTATTTACAGAGTTATAGAACACTTACCATGTATTTCTTTTGTCTATTTGTTGATTGAGTAAACAGATTTCTTATTTTAATGGGACAAGCCCGCCACAACATCCCAAAATCGCTGTATCTTCTGTATGCTAGGATCTACATCTTAGGGACATGAATAACTGTCTTGGGTAAAAATGTTCTTGAGTTTTTTTTAGTTATGAATAACTGAATTTTAGTCCAATCAACCTCTAAAAGTAATTAAGTACCGATTACTTTATATTAGCACTTTTTCTTTGATAAAATACTACATAACATACGCCCAAGTCGTAACACACTAGCGAACTTAAACATTACATTGACCTTACAATTTAAATTATAGCAAGTTCATTACCAAGTGATAGTTCATATGACAGGTCACACCTGTCTGACCTTACCCTTGCCACGTCATCACGATAAATTGTTTGTCATTGTTTTTTTTGGCTAAAATGATGATAGCAATGATTATTACGATTAACTGATTCTCTTAAAACTCAAATCTTGGTGCCTGTTTAAATGCAAATTGATCGAAAATGATAAATATTTTGATATATAACACTTTATTATACACAATGGTAATAAAGGATTTTGACTTGAACATTTTTATGGGGTCGTTTCGAAAATGTTCCAGGCAAAAATGATAGAGTTATTTTAAGGTCTATCCGGTGTAAAAATAAAACCCGTGGGACGAGCTACTGATATGTTATTTTTGGAATCGAATTTGCCCATTGACGGGAATTTTTGGTTGCAAGGCGGAATTTGCGTTGGCTTGCGTATTTTTGGAATTTTACGTCATTGTAGGGTTATAATAAACCCTCTAGCATGGCTTGAAACTAATCGAGTTCCTCGTCAGTTAATTACGTGAGTAAGCCAAAAACATAATATTTTTTTTAGTATGTCGCGCAGCCTATTGACATCGCCGCGACTGCGCCCGCTGCTCATGAGGAAGAACCCCTCTGTGGTTCGAAACTAGTAGAGCTTTTCTCAGTATATTCACGTGAGTATCCCGCGATTTTTAATTAATTTATTATGTCTCACGATAGTTATTATAAAAACTTATTTAGTATGTCTCACGAAAGTTTTGTGCATAATGTGTTATCATCATTAATTCAGCAATGGACTTTTTTAATGTGACAAGCCCGCCACAGTCTCCAAAAACCGCTGCAATTACAGTAAACCAGGATCTACAGTAGATACAACCATGAAAACATCGGAACACTGATGTCCGGCGCATCCCAGCGACATGAATAACTGTCTTGGTTCCCGCAACGAAGTGAATTTAGCAGATATTTTAGGAGGAAAAAAAAAGATTGTTTCCAATTTCCAGTTCAATAATAGACTGTTGATATCTAATGTTGATGAAGGCCTTCGATTGATATTGTCACCATTTCAGAGATTGTTTGACCTACATACACAGCTTCCATGGTGTGAATCAAAGCACAAAAAGGCTCACGACCCAGTCGTGACTCAAACCGCAACCAGTTCACTTGGTCACCTATTTAATTTAACATCTGAATCAATATTTTAACACTTGATAAATACAGACATCACGACAAACAAACACCCTTTTATTTTGCGATGTGAAGCAATCAATTTATAACCTTATTTGACTAATGTTAAAGCTGTAATTTGTGTAGTAACATTTTAAGTATTTGTTGACAGGTCTAATTATTTAGATTTTATGCCAAATAATGTGCTGTAATATTTTATACTTTCAGTATATAGGTTTAAAGGCTATAATGGAATATGTATTAGAATTCAGACCACATTTCTTTGTCGAAAAGCTTTTTGTTTTAAACATAGTGCATGACGTGAGTTTTTTTTTTGTAGTTTCAATCTTATGTGACCTCGTAAAAGGTTTATAATTGAATGAGGGTCGGCTTTGTGCATGACACGCAATCCTGAGCCTACGTCAGCACTTGTTGCCACTACAGAAATGAGTTTATACTACGAAGTTTCATTGATTTTTCTATGTAACTTGAACTAGTGAACTTGTTAAAATCATTTCTTGACATTTATTTGCTAAGTGCACTTTAGGTTTCAGTCAAAGTCAAGTAGCATTTTGTGTTTCCAGTTTAAGTTCTTTACTAAACATTGTTTTTTAATTGCTCCACCTTTTTGCTCCATTGATTTTCCCCTGTCTACAAATATACAATATCACATACACATGACACCCAGACCCGGAACAACAATTTGTGGATAACACAAAGAGTTGCTCCATGCCCGGAGTGAACCCGCGACATATTGCGCGGCAGCCGGTTGCCCAGCCACCGCACCAACTGTGCAAGCGCATTTGTAAACAAATATACCTCTAATGTATTCTCCGTACAATGTTCACTGAAACAGACAATCATTTGCTTTTGATTTAGCTACCACCAACAGTGGGCTTAACGCTTATAAGCTATTTTACGTACGGTCGTTTGATAAACGACAATCCTAATTTTCTTTATTGATGGTTTTTCATATACAAAATCTTTCAATTTTTCACATCGGCACATACTGACAGTATAGAAACCATACAACACATTGTATGAGACACATCTCGCGTAGATCTATGTTCCGATAGACAAGGTTAAGAGCTGCCATTTTTTAGTAAAAGTAGTCTCTTGGTCGGCTCTTTCGATATCAGCAGGAAGAGGTCGGCTGTTGACAAATGTTCCTATTTAACTCAAACATCTCCACACAACTTGACGAACAAGATGTGTACAAATAATTATGTAAACTATACAATAGACCTTCAGACATTATTTACATCCGACCATCCGACTCAATATTAACTTTACGAATGCCCATATATTTCCAAGTACTATTAACTGTAGTAACTACAGTACAAAAATTTAATTTAATTAGAGATTCAAAGGAAATTCTGTATTTAATGTAGGCATTAAGTAAAGTAACAATTTTAATAGAAATTACGTCATTAATTCTAAATTTTGGAAATGTTTAGACTCTTAGACTAATAATGACTTGCTTTTCGCTTTGAATTAGAAATGTGTTGACCTTTGCTCTTAATAACTGAAAGAAAAACTTTTTGTTTCGTCAAATGTAATAATTTGCGAAAGAAAAATATAATAGAATCCGTTTGCCTTTGTAAATATTCATCCATGGATTTGTTTTCATTGTTGTACGTTACGGTACTTTCTACGCGCAACGATTAACGTCTACTGCAGGGGAAACTACAAGAATAAAAAGTCGTGAGAAGTACTAGACATAGGTATGATATGTGCCTAATTTAAAATATGATACCCTATTTCCACCATTAGTGATTGGCGTTCGGAGGACTTAACAGGTTGCCGGGGCTCCGGCTCGAAGGGCAGGAGTAGGAACGGGGTGAAGTCATTCGATGATTATCCGAACCGAATGACCGTTAGAAAAAAGGTCTATTGATAGATGATAATCGCCAGCCTCAATAGAGCTGAAATGACTGAAAATTTTCTAATAATAATATCGTAAATAGAACCTGACACTCAACATGTTTCTAGAAACTGCTTTCTTCTATATTTATGTTATAACTATCGTGAGACATTCTAAATTAATTATTATGTTTTACGGCTTAGAAGCAACCTGGGTTGCGGAATGCTGCTCATGAATATGAGCCTTTACTATCGCTTAAAACTAGTCAAGTAACTCGTCAAATAATTAAGTGCCTTCTTCTATATTCCTTTCGTACCGTATCGTGAATCCTTGCACTATGGACTTGCTCACGACTCCGTGCGTGGCATTACAAGCGAGCGACTGTTATTCCGTTCGGCCGCATTACGGCAAACATGTTAATATCCTGACCTACTCCACATACTTATAATTGTTTAGAATTTTCACTAATATGTAGTAGAAAACTGACACTTTCTAAGACGTTAAAAAGTGAAAATTGCGACAGTCGATGAAAAATGTCGAACAGATAATTTTCTTTGTTTTTATAATGACTATCGTGAGACATACTAGTTAAATTAACTAAAATCACGGGTTACTCACGTGAATATACTGAGATATTTTTTCTTACTTTGATTAGGTATTAATGAGCATGTAACATGACTTTTGACTCATACTTAAAATATTGTATTTTTTTAACGTTGCCCCACACTACGATTTCCCCTATATTATGGGTGTGTTTGCAAACACACAATATAACATATAGAAAAATTAGAGGGCTGATATATATTTGGAGCCTAACATAATCAGACTTTGGTTTATGTCTCAAGACGTTTTTAAATCTGAATTGACCACTCTTGTTACAATCATAAAGCAAAGACATCCACTATACTACTTAAAAAACCTTACTTACTTTCAAAATCTTAGGAATTCATATTCCTAGAAATATCTACCCTATTCTTCTCAAGCACAAACTAACAAGAGGTTACCTTTGTTTTATCCTATAATGATCTGTTCTACTCAATTGAAGAGGATAACAAGCGTGCAAGCCATGTCGACAAAATATTGTTGTGTATTCGTCTTACGTCCATCTTTTGAAGTACCGAAATCTGACTTTTTGATAGATGTTGACTGTTTTTGTGTCTAGACGTCGTGGACTTGAGTACTAACTATCACAATAAATAAAATCCTTAGTTTCGTGTTCTGAATGAAAGTGTGCGATACATCGACCTCACACAAAACCGACGTGAAGCAACGCTTTCGTTGTGTTTCGTAGTGTGAGTGAGGTTACCGGAGGCTTAATCTGCCCATCCCCAATCTCTCCAATCTCTGAATCCCCAACAAACTTCAAACTCCTAATCCGTATAAGGCCGGTAACGCACTTGTAATGCCTCTGGTGTTCCAAGTGGTGGGCCCACATGGGCGGCGCCATTACATTTCATAGTTTCAGTGATTGGACGAACAGGATCTAAATCTACATTAGCGACATCTAGTAAGTGCAGAAATGATAGCCCTCAGTAATATAATACATATACCTAATGCTACGTGACATTCTATTATAAAAATGAGTCAATAAACATATGACTCAAAGTCATTAAATATATTATGGAAAAAATACTAAATAATGCAAACTCTAGTTTTTTTCGAGGACATTACTGACGTCAATGCAATAAACTCTAATTTTTATGGAAGGAAATAATTGGCATAATAATATTTATGTGATATTTTAATGACAATAACTAACATACAGGTAAAATGCCCCATAAACGTCATCATAATTTATATGATTGTTTTTTTTTTCATATTTCTTGCAAAATAGAAATATGAAAAAAAAGTAAGGCACAATATAAAAAAGACAATATCATTTACTCTTCTCTGCATCACCCAAAGGTCAGACTGGTAAAAAAAATATATTTTGTGCATGAAGCATATTAAATGAATAAATAATTCAATATTTTATGGGCTATACTGATAAATTACTACTGAGGGGCATAAGAAATAAAAATGCATGCTTTAAAAAACTTACTGATGTAATATATTATTATCTTACATATCCGTATGCTTAAATATTAAAATTATTCTAATGTTAAGGCTACATCAGTCACAATTGGTGTTGATTCGTAAACTCAAGGATTCCGACTGGTCCAACGAAACAAATTATCTTTAAAATATTTTGGAGGTAACATTCAAAGTCATCATTTAATTACTTATAATGATGAGTTTGTCTTCTTTATCCTCATTAGTAATGTTAACACGAGCTTTATTTGAATAAATAACAGCTGTAACACTATCTATCATAAATGTTTTGCAGTAAAACAGCATTTGTTTTGCTTCTACATCTTTCACATTCATGGCAATATCTTCACCACTTGAATCCACGAATTCCACCAACACCATAACTTAATTCAAACTTCTAAAATCCGCATCATTATTAAATACAAATGATTCTACTTTACATTTAAATGCATATCTACATAATCGGAATGATATTGTGATTTATTTAAAATTGTCTTTACTTCATTGAGCACGATGTTTTACACTCGATTTTCTTGGCTCCATCGCTTGCCCTTCCCACGGTAAGCGAAGCCACTAGAAATTGGAGAACATCACTAACACATTTTCAATTTACGGTTCAAGATTCTGCATAGTCTTTCCTCATTAGATCAGCGTCCGATTTACCGATATTTACATGGATTGTGATGGCTTCATCGGTATCAGATTTCATTACAACGTCGTTCCATTGTACTTCAGCTTTCTTACCATAAGCCTCGTTTTCTATGAGAATAGCTGATTTTGTGCAAAGAGCTTTGCTTTGGAATTCGATTAAAGCGCAGTATTCGCTTTTCTTTGTTTCTGACTTTACATCAGCGATGTATCCGAGTTTCCTCCTCATCACTTCAACTCTTACGTGATAGTTGTAGATGCATACTTTGATGATGAAAGCGCTCTTTTGGTGCAGCAGTATGATCTTGTACTTTGTTCGGCAACACGCTGTCTTCTTCAGCTTCGTTTGGAAGTTTTCTATGAGAATCTTGATCTTCTGTGAGTAGACCGCGATGATGTTGTGGGTCTTTTGTAAATGTGATGAGAGTTCTTCGAAAGGAACTGTGCAGCAGCCGGCTGTGATGGGGCAGACCATGGTGTCGAATTTGCAGTCTTCTTCATGCTTGACTCTGGTCACAGCAGTGAGGAGCTCTGTACATCCGCGTCTGTGAACAAAGATATAGGTTTATTAGTCTCTGAATATTAATTAACAAACTGTAGGTAATGTTTTTTAATCATCAATATTACATTTGCATTAATGACTTCAATTTATTATCAAGTTTATTTATTGCGTTCAGATTCTTATGTAAATCGATGACAACATTTGCAATTGCAGTCACAAGATGTTCTCCGGTAATAAATATTTATGTTACTTGATTTTATATTATATGTTATTTAAAAATTCTTATGCCATGTTTTGAAATATTTATTTTAATCGACGGTACTTGGTGGTACCAGCACATATGGGCATTAGCATTAGGTTTTTAAGAAATATAATAATTTATGAGCGTAAAATTACGGCACGGAATGATGTAATGTGAAGTTATAATAAGAATAACAACCACTATGTTACCGTATGAGTTTATACGTATTTTTTGCAATCTAAATTAAATCACGTGCTTCTAATAAAGGTATTTATTTTATTCATAGTTTGATATCACGTTCATGCATCTACTCTTGTATATAATTACATGAACTCTTTGATTGACTGTTAGCAGCAGCGTAAAGTCTGCTTTATGTCTATCAAAATAGATCACAAAATCAAGATGGCAATGATATTAACTAGACAAACCCGTAAAATGGATATAGGAAAGACTATGTTGGTGTGACATCACTATAAAAATAAATAGGCAGAGGGAGCGTAAGGGCGTTAACAAGCTTAACTTTTTACTTTAGGTCTATTTTACTTCAGTCATTTTAGATAGTTTTTATAATGATATCTTCTACGTAACTACGACTTCCACCCACTCTGATCTATCTCCAATTACTATACTGCAAAAACGTCGTAGAAATATTGTGTATTCTTAAAAGTATTTTGTCTTTCTCGGGTGATGATGCTCTAAACATCAGACTTATTAATATATAACTAAATAGATTTTAACCAAGAAATTAAAATCTGCTGTCAGCTACCCTTAGCAATAAAACCGTAACTTTAATCTACCAGTTACTATCAGGTTTATGTCCAAAAGTTGCGGTTTATTCGACAAACAACTGATCTTATTGGTTACATTTATTTGGTGCCTTTATGAGCTGTTTACGATGTTACTCACAAAGTGATTGGACTGTTCATTGATTGATTGCTTCCAGTATTTCAAGGCGTCCTTTTTATTTTATTGTTTTACATGGTAAAATTGTTTAGTGACTAATTTTATAACACTGTTTATTAATATAATATTACCTGTGCATGCACGGTATTGCTTTTTAATTAGCAATATTTTAAAATACTTAGGAAATTTTACAGAAATATGTGTATAAGTAGGTACAAGTTTAGAGTAAATATTTATACGACCTACAGATAAGTTCCGGATTTAGCTGTTTATGTGGACATGTATGTATTTGTAAACTTTGTCAACGAATCGATGAACTCACGAAGTGCTTCAAGGTCGCAAGAACTCTAAGTTCACTATACACTGTTAAGATAAATTAATTAATAATTTTATTGTCATCTTATTTTAGAGACAGCATTAGGTATCTAATTTTTTTAGTGTAAATATGTTTATCGCTTTACTGATATTTAGTGGTTTAGATGTAAAGACAGTACAATGTCAGAATATCAAAATGATGCATGACAATTTAATCTTTCTAATATTATAGATGGAAAAGATTGTGTGTTTGTTACTCAGGTTGGAATTGGGATAGATTATGGTCTGGGACCCATGAATGTATGGACGAAGCTACGGGCAGAAGCTAGTCCCCAAAACATATGCTACTTCATTGAAATACATATCAAGTATCTGATTACATTCAAAGAATTTCAATTCCCCTCGAGACAGTACCGTCAGTGATACCAATGCGACACTAGACGTTGCATAAAGGAAATGCTATCGAGATTATTACGGACTATTTCCTAGGAAATGTCGATAGCATTCCTAGACTAATACGCAGTTATACGTCAGGCAGTTAGACTGGAAGTAATATTGGTATTGAATAAATACATACATATAAAACTATATTATTGGATTTTTTTCTCTGAAAATGAAGATAAAGGACTACTACAAGTAATAATTATCATTTAGTTTTTGTCATGCGTAGTACCCTATGTTAAAGAAGGTGAGCCTATGATCATACATTGGGCACAATGACTTCATAATCCATTCTATTATTGAGAATTTTTGAAGTTTGAAACATCTAATAGTATTAGTTATGAGAAAGAGATGAGGTTCATATTCATGAGCAATATACCGCAACCCACGACGCGGTTACTATCGCGCTGCTACTGTCGGCTTGAAACTGTTCGAGTTCCTCATCAAATAATTACGTGAGTAAGCCGAAAAACATAATAATTCATTTAGTATGTTCCACAAAAGTTATAACATAAATCGAATAGCATTACTTTGTCTGACTTCTGAATCACTGTCCAGCAAAGGATCTTAGGTTTAATTACCAAAATAAAACTAGAACACCTTGATAAACGCAGTTGCAATCGCTTAACGAACAAGTCTCAGTGTTGAATAAATAATTACTTTTTATACACATAAAAGGTTTTAGGAGGAAAATGAGTACTAATAGTTAGGAGCCGCAGCTGCTCCAAAGATTTTATAATGGGGCTTTCCCGTAATTATGTGGTCGCAAGGTCCTTTGTTAGTCGAGAACTTCAAATGCAAGTGTGCCCCATGTTTGAAGCTCAAAAAAACTTATTTCTTTTAGAAAATTATTAGAAAGTACTGCTTTGTATCCTAATAGATTAGGTCAGTGACATGTACTGTTACTAAATAGGTACTATTTCATAGGTTGTTTAATTGAAATCATAAAACAAAGTTTTCAGGGACAGAAAGAGATTTGAGAATTCACAATAGTAACGACATTATTCCTAAAAGAATATTTAATTGCGAAACCGACCTATAGTTCCGACACGGTAGCATCAATTCGTTGATGAGTCGCTGCAGCGCCAGACAGGGTAGTGCTGGCGATCTGAGAGCTCCCCTGCACCAGGCACACCTGGACATGCGCCGGGAACATCTTCCACACCAGACACCTCCACACCAGGGACATACGCAGGGTCCACAGCACTGGAAAATGAGAAAAAGCTACATAAGTCTCTGATAGAACACTTTAAAGTATAGAATAGAATGCGTTAATGTGAATGTTTAGTTTGAAGTAAGTTTCGTAATCAGTTTTTTAATTTGAATTCTTAATGACTGGCTGGAAGGGCTATATGATTGAACCACTATTTGTTTAACACAACAGACGATAATTATCTGTGGCTAGTATACTTCGAATTTTAATCGCGCGAAGAGAATTTTTGGTAACATATCGTATGAGTATAAACTTAAAATAATTAAACTTTCAACTAGTTATTAAATTAATTAATAAACGGTTTCATAATATTAAAATACTTCTACATGCAGTGCACTCAAGTATTTCAAAGAACTTTGTAAGAATTTTCATAGTTAGTTTAAAAATAACATACTGGAATTTCTATAAAATAAAGTTAGAAGTGTGAAGAATGTCGTGGTGGTCCGGAGGTTTAAGACGCCCGCTTCTCATGCATGAGGTTGCGGCTCAAAACTTATTAATTGCAAATATCAGTGTGACTTTTCCGAGTTATATGATGAAGCAAAAACATCGTGATACCTCACGATGTTTTTTGGACCTATAATTTCCTGGACTTATAATTTCTAATTATAAGTTTGAAATCGCCAACTCGCATTGAGCAAGCCGTCCCATTGGAAGAATAAAGTGTTATGATCACATGTGTCGAAATTCATATTATGTTAAATTCGTCATCCTTATAATGTAAACTATCGATTAATACTACTTTTATATATTTTTATCAATTAATTCAAAAGATACAATGCTCGAATAAAGTTTTATCCGCGCCGACTACGTAAAATAACTATGCATGATCACATACAACAATATTCTCCGCCTTGCTCCTGCGCAATTAGCTGCGCGTGCCGTGTCGCTTCATCCTAAGTAACGTTGTTCGACGAAGTAGCAGCGAGTGGTGTTTGTTACAATGAATACCCAAAATTTGATAAAATATGCTGTATATAATGGTTTGATACAATTTACACTACGTTTTATAAATTTCCCACAAAGACAGTATTTATAATCACATAAAACATTTTTTTACGAAATACCAAAGCTTACTTATTAGAACTTAAATCTGAACTAAATACTTTAATAATAACTTATATAACATAACGGTATCTAATAGCACTTGTCTTATTTTTTCCCCTATTTTTCCAGTTTCTTATAAACCTAGTACATTTTACTACGTAAAATTTTATATTTTTTTCGTCCGCAAGTACGCATAAAACATTATTCTACAAAAAAAATAATTAAAGTGAGTGCCGTATATGCAAATGACACTTCTTTTTACCAACGGTTTTATTATAAAACAATATTCGAAATCTTAAAATTGCTATAAAATGGTTAAATTTAATTTAAAATATGAACAGCTTATTCAATAATCTATTAACAACTAAATGTACTAGGTAGGTATAGCAAAAAAGTAACTAATGTAAGTTTACATTGAAAACACCAATGGACCTAAACACAAGAGTGCACGCCTCCCTTTTTGACATGTTTGCTTTTTGTATTAGAAAAATCGAAATAGTTTATTTTTTAAACTCCCAGTTTAGAGCAAAAAAAAAAAATTAAACAGTGACACGTGAAAAAGTGAGTGCGTACTACCACAGTAGACCACTCGAGCGCTCATCAAATTACATATATCTAAGTTATGTACATACATTTACTTTACTAATTTTTTTTAAACTATTATGTTATGCATATACTCCTTGTTACTTTTACAGAATCAAAGGAAAAATAATTATATCCAATATAATTTTATTATTAAATTTTTTCAATGATGATTTCTCAAACGATGGGGAAAGAGCAGGTCAGGCTCAATTGGTGAGTTTGTGGTACCAGTGGAATAGACGATCTTTGAGTTAGAATTTGCATTAAATAGGGAATATGAAATAAAGTACACCACCAAGACGAAAAACAGATGTTTGAATCAGGATACACCAAAGAATTGCAATTTTATTTATACATATTATAACGAGCAAGCGACGCAATACGCTACAAAACTATAGTTAAAACTACATGAGATAAGTACTGCAACAGCACTGTCGTAGAAGACGATTACAGAGACCGCCACAAAAATTAAAAAAAGGTAATCGTAGAAGACATGATCACTAGCGGTTGTGACCAAGTGAACTCATTTGCATCTATCCAATCACATTATTTAAGTAAAACACGACGTAATGATATCTAGACGGTATTGTCCGAATGTACAAATTTCAACAGAGTTGCACTCAAATAGGTTCAGTATTTTAAGCCATAGATTGTCCCAGTGATTGTTTCAGTGCCAGTGAACCGTAAACCAAATTTCAATCAAATACGTTCAGTGGTTTAAAAGATAGAGTCCTGAGATATAGCACATATTCTAATTCTGGGACTTCCGGGTTATTACTTTGGTACTAATAATGTGGCCTGATTTGTACCGGTAAGACGCTACTTCTAATACTATTACCTAAAGGAGACGGGCAAACATTCATGGTAAATTTGACCTCGATGGACTAAAAATTACTTAAAACAAATGAAATGCTACGGGTTTTCAAGGACTAATACTACTATGTAACTGCATTAGGATCAGGGATTTTCTAATTCAATTAAATGAATACGTTATTTTAATGGATTAGCTTCTGCCCAAGGCTTCGTTCGCGCTCTTTTAAAGGATTGGGGATAGGAATTCAAAAGAATACAAAAGCATTTGCTTTTACAGTTTTCTATTAGTAGTCAATAGATTAAGCAATATTTATGGTTGATTTTTCACAAATCGGGTTACATTTTCGAAATTTTAACACGGTTCCTATCTTTTTCTTATAAGGGGTGTAGTATGTAAGATTCCAACGCTAAAAGAATTTTTGAAATCCGTTCCGTAGTTTCGGAGCCTATTCAATTCAAACAAACAAAAATTTAAATCTTTCCTCTTTAGTAGACTAGTAGTTAGTATATTGTTTGTTCTTTAGTTTAGTGTTTTCATAATTGTTTTCTATGTTTGAGACTAATTTTTTATTTTTAATATTTTTTTAATATATTCACAATGGTGCCATAATTATTTATTGTGTTTTTATTATTAAGCTAACTTTATATTACAATTATATAGGACTGATTTATTCATGAGAATAACCACAGAAAGAAATAAGTCAATAGTTAGTTTTAAGTAATCTATAATATTTTTTTCTTATGGATCGCCATGTATTTATTTTGTAAGAATTGTAAGAGCGTTATTTTGTTTTTCTGTCGCCTCTTTTAATAATTTTATAATAAATATCTTGATTAGGTTATTCCTCATAGTGTATGTAATCAGTTTGTATTTATTTTTAATTTACTCGTATATTGATTACTACATTGACTAATAAATTGATTAAGAAAACACCAACGTTTTTAAATATATAAAAATAGTCAGTAATAATGATGAATTTAAAACCAATTCTACTTTCTTAGTATTACAGTTTCATATAAAACACGGATATAACCGCCAAAATTCGTAAAATAATGTTTGATATGCCGATGTATCGTGAATAGTTTCGTCGAATATTGTTTTATGTATCCTTAAGACATCTCATTCAATATTTTTTTTGGCAAAAGAACGTTGTATGTGCACATGCGACCCATTATACTTGAAAAGGCATAGTTTATAAAACAAATAATTATATTATCATAAACGGCACTAACTTCTGTACATACTGTACAAATATTAAGTAGCTAGTATCATTTATAACAGATTTATAAGCAAATATGTGCGCGCGAAATTTATAATCGCTCTACTGAAAAGTCGACAATTTGCAAATAGAACATTATTCTACTAATGGGACGAAGCGTGGTGGTTAATGCTGAAACCCTCTCCATGTGAGAAGAGGCCATGATGGCACAGTGGCAGAGACAGCAGTGGCCACTTATAGGCTGCTGATGTTTGTATGTGTGGTAAATTATGTCCGTAACTTGCTTAGTCAAGTTATACATAGCGAACTGATTATAGTTATTCATAATACCAATGCAATGTGCATTAATAATCACTTCACACTGGGTCACTTGCATATTTTTTTAAGGTGGGAAAATCATCGAATAACTTTTCGAGGCGGGAGGGAGTGTCAGACTCTTACTGACTAAAAATCACCCCGTTCCTACTCCTGCACTTCGAGCCGGAGTCCCGGTAAACCGTTAGGTTCTCCGCGCAGGTCTCTTGCATATAAGCTGTAGTTTGTAAACGTCGAATTTTCTCGAAAAGGTATCGACTAATAAATGACAAATATGACGTTGGATTTTATTGTTGCACAATAGTACTTTTCCTTATTATTTAATGTTTTCCTTGTTTGTATGTCCTGTGGGCCTATCACAGAAATGTTATTAAACATGATGCTTTTAATGACGTTTTGGTTACATATGGGATTATCCAAAGAGACGATTTGTGTGAAATTTTCATTTTTCTATAGTTGCTAATTAATAATATCTAGTTTGGTTTATTAATATCAAATATATAAACAAAGTTTAATCGCCACTCAAAGCTAAAATCAATTTATTTCTCATTTAATTTTCTATTGCACTTAAAAATGAAAAGTGGGTTATTGGTGTTTTACCTTTATTGGCTTTATCAAAAGATTAAAAATCCAATCACCTCTCAAAGGCGCTTTATCTATTGTTCGTATATAAAATTATATAAAACACATTTGATGTATGTTTTATGGCGGAAACAACAATATAATTCACTATAAAATATCTTTATTGCCTTTATTGACATTAAACAAAATATATGTGTACTTATCTGAACATTATAATATATTAGTTTATGATATTCATGAGTTATAATGTGGCTTTTATTTATTGTGTACCTACAAAGCTTTAGGCCTATCCCTATGTCCAGCAGTGTTTCTGGAGGAGAAAAGAAAGGAGATACCTATAAGCTAGACTTGTTCGAACAACTATTTAATAGTACATTTTTTCCCTGTTTGGTATTAGCCGTAGCAAGACGGTGCACAAATATGAGGCTATTTGCACGTAGTCCCATATTACCAGTCGTTAAGATTCTTTCCTTACTCGTTTGCGTGATATTACGAAAATAAGAGAACAACTTTATATGAAATTAGACAAGAAAACTCTTTATCAATGGTTACACCAAAAATGTACTATTTCTACGCATCACATACAATTTAACTGGTCAGAATACCCAAATTTTAAAGAATACGTGTACAATTTTTAAGTATGTATATCTATTTAAATAAATAAATATATATGTTTCCTAATTTTATGTTAAAAACGTCGAAGCCAAAGATAACAATGTAAATTACAAAACGTAAACATTACATTTCGTATCTTAAAACTAAACACAAAGTAAACTGGCTTTGAGTTTGAGGAAACTTAATTTTGCCCTTGAAACTAAGTAAAGACCTTACATTCACTTAATATAACTTTGATCTTGTTATTTAATATTCAAATAACGTCGTGTGCTTTAATCCAGGGTAGGCAGAAGTGCACATTTTTGACGTAACATCTATACATCAGTTATTGATTCTATGTGATAAAGAATGAGTAATGTGAGCATAATGAGCCGAGACAGTGGTGGTGTTTTAAAAAATCTCAATTATAAAATAGAGTCATTAATGAGAATTTTCAAAACATTGCAATAACTAATGCATCCTAGAAGTTGAAGCCGAGACCCCATATGTATCAGTAGAGCGTGATACAATTCGATTTCAACATAGCATAACAAACATCTTGCCTTTTATATTCGACGGAGTAGGCAGAGATGCACATTACGGCATTTAATGCCACTATACAATGTACTACCGACTTTTCACTATTTATGTTATGAGTCCCATGTATGGGGGTGAGCCTATTGTCATATACCGGACACAATTCCATACTCCGTGCTACTACTGAGATTTTTAAAAACCCAGTAATACTGAATACAGATTGAAAAAGAGTAACCTATGGAGTTTCTTGCTCGTTCTTCTCCATAGGAATCTACACCTTGGAATGAGCAAATAGCTTCACTTTTAATATTAATTTTATTTTGACGTTCAAAAGTGCCATTCTGGCCTAATTGAAATAAATGATTTTACTTTGACTTTGACTTTGACTTACAGAAATCTTCAGAAACTTACAGAATCGAACCCGAGACCTCTTGCCCGGCAGTCGCACTTGCAACCACTCGGCCAACGAGGCAGTCGATTTCAACTGATTGTTAAATCATTCGTAGATGTCTTTAATCAGCAATAGGCGTCGTGTACTTGACATGATAATGTATAATGTCTAAGACCCGGGTAATCCAAGGGTATTAATCAACAAGGGTGCATAGCAACAAGATGGAATTAAATTTTGAAGAAAGGGTTTTAAACGAAGCCTTCTGCCCCATTTCTATAGAGCGTAACGTAAGTACAGTTAGGCTTATAATCCTTTTGCTGTATATTAAATGAATGAGATCTAACTTGGATGTAGGGATTTAGATATCTGCGCTTTTTTTCTTGTTTAACGCGAAGAGAGTATTAATATTTGTCTTTGGTTAAATCATTAAATCATTAACCTGTTAATGTTATCGTGTTGTGTTGATTTAATTTGTTAATGTTATCGATGATTTAAGTGTATTAGTAGCATTAAAGATATATTATTCAGCTTTTAAAGATTAGCTTATTAACTCGTTTTATAGTATAGAACTTAATAAAACGATAAAAGACATGTTAGAAATAATGTAAATGGGTGTTTTCCCGAAATAATAATAATACAGGAAACCACAAAATTTTGACATTGGCACAAGAATCGTTTAGCGTCGGAAATAAGATTTCTTTGCCTTCAATTACATTTCGACAGATCAAGTGATTACGTCAGACGTGGCGTGATTGTGCTGACAACTTGGGTACTGACACCAATCTAATTATTTTGCGATGAATTCTCATGACTGTATAATTTTACTTGATTGTAATTTTATAGTAATAATTTCTTACCACCTCGCACTGATTGTGATTTTTGAAAGCTTTATGATATAATTTTTCTTATATTTTTTAAGAGTAATAGCAGGGGAAAGTAGAGGGAACCAGATCACGAAGCAGATCACCTTTGCGCTGGACTGATCAAGTCAAATCGGCAACGGGAAAACCAGTGTCAGACTGCGCCAGACAATCCACAAACAGGGAGAGATGGTAGGAGATGTGAAAAAAGCTGTATCGGCCTCTAACACAAATACGGCCGCCTCAACGCGACCACGATCGCTCTCCCAAGAGCGAAACGACAGAGAAGAAGAGATATTTTTAAACACTTCCCCGTCCAACTGACACCAGTACAGAAAACATAACCTTATTACAAAAAATTAAGCTATATATCTCATTAAACCTAAATATACTTTTAAAGAACTCACTTGTAAAGGTTCCAAGCATATACTGCACTCTGAGAAACGTGAGATCAGTTCATCACAGTTTGGGCAGGAACATTGGGCTGCGTGGCCTTCTTCGGATGATACCAACGCGGGCTGAACTAGCGGGAGTGATTTATCTGGAAACAATGAAAAATATGTTTTTATTTTTCTATTTTGTATAATCTTTAATTTGCAATCTTGAGCTTCATGCTCATCACAAATTGTACGTCTCTGCGTATAGCATCATTATACTAGTACTCTATTCTATTATCATTTATAAGACCTGTATCTGTATGCACGTCTATGTTAACAAGTATTGGATTTGATTTGTTATTAATAACATACACAATACACATACTTAACACAAATTCTTTTTCCCAAAGAGTAAGTTAGGGAGCGCATGTTTAAATTAACATTTGAAGAAGAAGATAGGATACCCTCTATAATATTAGGTTTTGTAGCATGAACCTATTGCTGTGTACAATTGTACACTGATCACTTTTCCCAAGTTTAAGCTATTACTAAGAATCTATTAAAATTTCACCAAAATTATTGTAATGACACTTAGATTAAGTGAAATGGCTTCAGCGATGATTAGAGAAGTAAAATTAGTAATTATTTCATAAATCCAAAGTGTTCCAGTATTTTGATCTTGTTGAAAGGTTTCCTTTAGGCCTGTCTTATCCTTCTTGTTAGTGAAAGTATTCAGTAAAGTTGTCATGAATATTGAATATTATTAATTACTAATTTTTAAAAACCCAGTAATACTTTGCCCGACCTGGGAATCCAACCCGAGGCCCCTTGACAGGCAGTCGGACTTGCGACCACTTGACCAACTAGGCAGTGATTTAACTTAATATTTATAAATTATTTGTTATATAGTTGTCTAAGATCTTAATTCGTCATGGTTTTGACTATGTGGTCAAAGTCACACCCACATGGGTGTGACTCTAGTTCGCTATGACGATAACGCGTCACTTCTCAGAAGATTTTGTCATTGATGACCTCATGATAAAACGGTAATTTATACTGAAAAGGCATTGTGACCACAATGTTACAAATAGATAATGAGTTAATCAACAATTGTGAGAAAATAATTATCAGGTAGGTTCTATTACTACCCTTCGTTAGGATGATTCCTATATGTTCCGTAACTTTACGCCATAATTAAAATTAAATTATGTAGATCATCCAAATATTTGCTATACACATGAAGCAACCAAAAACCAGCAATTATATTAATCACTTATATATAGTTAAGATCACAGATTAAACGAGTTGAAAGATCCTTTAATATAATCTAAATCTATTAATCACATAAACATTAAACTTAATTGCTTTACTTAGGACTGATAGAACTGTTCTAGAATAGCACTTCCTTGGAATATTTCCAAATGTAATGAACTTGATTATTTATTGACTACGCTAACAGACAACTATTATCTATATTAATACTACAGAAAATACCTACTTCTGCATCTGCGTCCGGATAACTACTAGCACTAGACAATTTAAAAAAATACTGCTCTTTTTGAATTAAATGTCGTTTATGCTGATCATGATTGTGGGCCCCCAATGTAGCTTGAAACTAGTCGGGTTATCACATGGAAGAGTAACGTGAATAAATAATCTGTAGAACCAAATCATTTTGTTCATGATTAGAATGTTTGTTTTCAGTGAATAACATGGGTTACTTTCTTTTTTTTTTCGATATTTCTATAGGATCAGAATCTATTCAAGATAACCCTTTTAATTTAACATACCATAACATCACACGTTTTAGCTACGAAGGGGAAGGCAGTATGTGTACCTGCGCAGTACGGCATTTAACGACACTGTACAATGTAACATCCACTTTTCACTATTCATGTTAAGAGTCCCGTGTAATAGGGGGTGAGCCTATTGCCATATACCGGGCACATTTACTACTAAGAAGTTTTTTTTTAAAACTCAGTAATACTTGTGAACCCGAGGCCCCTTGCCTAGCAGTCGCACTTGTGACCACTCGGCCAACGAGGCAGCAACGACCTTTTAATTTCTACTCGGTAAACTTTAAGTACACAGATGGAGTCATAAACAAAATAGTTATATATAAAGCGATTAATTAGTGCAATCATCCATTTAAGTATATGTACTCATATCTTTATTATTGCCATTTTAATAATAGTTATCGGCTTATATAATATTATTCGTTTGATGCTCGCGTGTTGTTGTGTTGCAATTTTATTGCTAACTAATGTAATCGACGGATAAATAAACATTTCATTTTATGAATGTAACTTTGTATCATTGAGTATATTAATGAGTTTTGTTTTGGTGTCTAGTTTTAATCAAAACGATCGTTGCTATAGTAGATAATGCTTTGTAAACCTCAAAATATAGGGATCCTTTTGTCAGAATCTGCTTTATTGCAAAATCATAAGGTCTACTATAGGTAAAAACTAGTAGGTAAAAAAAAGTAGGTGTTACATTGTACAGTGGCATAATGTACACCTGATGTTATGTTATGTCATAAGGTCTATTGAGAGAAGAGAATTTATTGAAATCTTCACAGTTAGCAAGACTACAAAGTCTAAACATTTTCTTAAATAATTCTCTATCAACATGTGTTCATAGAGAATTATTTAAGAAATTGTTTAATACTTATCCATAATTTCCAAGATAGGCTTCTTACTAGAGTACTTTACGAGTACCTAACATTTATCTTCATCTAGCCTTGAATACGTGTCAGTTGTCCGTTTGTCTAGTTAAACATTCGATTGTTTGATAATATTTTCAAGTGCAATATTACGTCACAACATACACTATTATATTGAAGTATTCGTCATTACAAATAATATTATCTAAAGTGGTTCTTATAATTTGAAGTTTAAACCTTAAGTGTAGGTAACATTGAGTGCATATTTGCACTGCATTTGGCATTGATAATATCATATCATTATCAATACTTGATTCCTGATGATGATAAAAATAACAATTCTACTTGTCTTGATGTTATTATCGTTACGTGAGTTTAAGTATTTGAGATTATTTTTAGAAGTAGTATTATAATGATTTATCTATAACTGTTGGCAATTATAATTATTTATGTTATACTAAGATATTAATAAAAGAGAATAAACAAAAAACAATAAAAAGAAGAAAGTGGGTGTGGAAGAGCCATGCTTCGTCACGAATAGGCCGGCTCGACCGGAGCGATACCACGGCCTCACAGAAAACCGACGTGAAACAACGCTTGCGTTATGTTTCATCATGTGAGTGAGGTTACCGAAGGCCCAATTACCATCATCCTCTAATTCCCAATTCCAAAAAGGCCGGTAACGCAACTTGTAACGCCTCTGGTGTTTCAGTTGTCCGTCGGCGGCGCCGATTGCTTACCATCATGTGATACGTTTGCTCGTTTATCGGCTTATCCAATACAAAAGACAAAAAGCACTTTATACTTTGGGATAAAGACGTCCGCGTCCATTTGTTTATTTGTATCTATAATACAAACCTATAAAGTAAGTTTAATAGTATTAAAATAAAAACTATAGGCAAATATTAAGTTCCTAACTTAACTATTTACTGATTACTTAGTAAATATAATTCTGTTTACTTTTCTATTTAGTAGGTAATCGTTTTCATTAGTTAACTACTGTTATGCTAGTACTATTTTACTAACTAGTGTTAGTACTTAAGTTAAGTGGTCTTTAACTTAATAGAAATCTAAGCTAACTGCGAAATACTATGTGTTTCTTAAGAATTGTAGCATCATTTTATTTAACCAGTACAGATAGCTGAAACAAAGTAAGTTATGGGTACTTTTTTCTTATATGTCTTGGGGTAAATGACGATTGATATCAATGTACATTCTTTTATAAGATAATTGTAATAGGAATATGTTACATTATACATTAATGAAAATATGTGGATTTTGATAGGAGCAACTAAAGCCAAAGACACAGTTTTTTGAATTGTAAGTATGCCTGTGCACGTCAAGCAAAAACTACAACACAAAATTTAAAAGCGGTTTAAATCACTAGATTTCATACTTTACATTGTGACAATGTATAAAGTCTGACACAAACCAGTTTTGTAATACTAATCCGACTGACCTACGTTCAAGAAACATTGTTCTTCGTCCACGTATTTATAAATTCACTTTTTAAACATTAGCTTCCACTAACATTACTCGCTTGTATTCTTAAAAACCTCGTATCAAAGTGATTCACAGTACCTGATGTCAATGAGCTCATAATCTTCCGCACTGTTGATAAATTGTTGAAGATATAAACGTCATAAGGTCACAATATTATATAACAATATGCCACGCACGTCAGATAAACGTCTTAAAAAAATTTCGCAATACGACTGGCCTTGAACAGCGTATTATAAAATGATTCGCTAATTCTCAAGTCTTAGATATGGTCATTTTGCGTCGTTTAAATTTGTGTCTTTTGATGCGAGAATAACAAAATTCGAATCGGTATATATTGGGGGTTCTGTGGGTGAAAAAGTGACGTCTCATCTCTAGCAAGTTTGAAATAAAGATAGTTAAAGATTTGTAAAAATCCTTGACGTTAATTGTGTTTTTGGCTAATCTGCGTAGGACTCTCCGCATTTAAATTGAAGTTAAGAATAAGGAAAAACAAAATCGATGTAACTTACTGGGTGACGAAAGAAAATATTGAAAATAGGATTATTTCAATCATAATATTAGTGGGTAAACGTTATATTAAACGGTGAAGCAATACTTTAATAGCTCCGTTGAAAGAGAAAGGACATTTACAAAGTCTTGTCGAAAATCTAGACGGTTAAGAAACACACTGAAGGTCTGTCTAAGATATTTTGTTATTGAAATTTTTGACAAGGTCAGATCCATCTTTTTATATGCAAACTAGAAAACTGACAACGGGCTTTATGTTAAAGAACATAGAATTCAATTTAAAGTAAGGGTAGATATAGATGGCAATGATTAATGAGATAATTATTTTGAATTATAATAATATCTCCAAAGTAATGATATAACCGTAGAGATTTAAAAAAATGATGATATAGTCTTGACTAAGGAAAGATAATAGAATTATCTTTAGCAACCATACTGAGGCTGACGTAACAAAATAGAAGGAAGAATTGAACAACGGTAACAATAGTG